TAATTTCATTAATTTTATGGCAAATTTTATGTATTTTATACATATTTTATATTTTTTAGCTAAATTATTAAGTTTTATAATTATTATATATATATTTTTTATTTTTTTATTATATGACCGGTCCGACCAGTTGACCCAATGGTTAAACTNTTATATTTTTTAGCTAAATTATTAAGTTTTATAATTATTATATATATATTTTTTATTTTTTTATTATATGACTGGTCTGACCAGTTGACCCAACAGTTAAACCAGTGAACCATTGACCCGGTCCCCTTGCCGATTCGATGACTGGTCCGGTTCTGATAACATTGCTTGACTGCTTTGAAGGTTGATAGTTGAATTTTTAAATTTTTATGAAGGCTTCCCAAAAAGGAAGCTTCAAAAATGGTCCATCATCCTAATTTGTGTTTATTTGTTTGTGCTTTGTATTATCTTTGACAGGAGTTTCTCATTCTGTTGTATGGTTTTCTAGCTTTTCGAATGAGTAAAATTTTGCTTGCCACAGATAAGGGGACCTGCAACTAAAACAAGAATGGGCGGTATTAAGATTACTGGGTTTAATTTTACACCATCTGCTCCCTGAAGGTCTGGCTATGCTGAATGTGCATTTGTTTTTGGTGAGGCTCAAGAAATAGGGTTCACTGTCTGCTTTTCTTGTGTGTGTGCATCTCGTGTCTATGGAAGTTTCCTTATCCTACCTTTCCCATGGCATTCTACCTAATGCAACTCCTCCTTCCTCCAACCTTGTCATAACGTGTGATAGGATTCGAAGCATGACATAGGCGGATTAAGGAAAGGACTCAACAACTACTTTTACTGTATATTTATTTACTGGTTTAAAGACAAAGACAGCTGATACGAATGTTGTTGCGAACAAGTTTTCCCAGTATATTGTTATGGGCATGTCTAAATTCACTCTTGTAAAGCATAAAAACTGTAATTGNTTGCGAACAAGTTTTCCCAGTATATTGTTATGGGCATGTCTAAATTCACTCTTGTAAGGCAAAAAAACTGTAATTAGCACAAAAATTACTTCGATGCCTTTCATCTTATTTTTGCTTCTACCATTCCATCATATGTTACTTCATTTGTGTGCCCATTTACAACTAAATATGTCCACTTCAGTCTTTGCTATAGCTTTCAGCAATGTGTCACTATGAATAATTACCACTTCATTTTCTTTTTCCTATCCCTTGATGGAATGCATTCAATGGTGGTAGTGAGGCTTATACTTTTAGCTCTCCTTGAGGTGAGGCTCAAGGGAAACAACTGCAGTGCGGTCCTTAATAATCAATCTTGTGTGTAAAATATCAGATATTTACTAGCTTTCATAGAATTGGAAGATGCAGCCTCATTGATGTCAATGATCAATGCATACTTTTTTCCAATTATACTATAGAATGGTCAAACTAGCAGGAGTCAATAGCAGGCACAGCAGGGAAAACTCAGATTGTCTTGCAAAAAGTTAACCAACTGAATTTTTTATTACAGACCACTGAAGCAGAGGTTACATTCTTGAATCGGCAAAGAAGGATTGAAGAGCTTGAGTGTCAGCTCAATGAAGCAGAAGGGAAGGTATTAGATCTCAGAGTAGAAGTGAACAAAGTGCACAATCAATTGGACAAGGTCAAGAACAACCATGGGCAGCTTTTGAATCATCCAATTAAAAAGGAAGATGTCCCTTCTCGGGGAAATACAATGCATGCAAAGAAGCTAAATGATGCTGAAACCTTATTATTCTGCCCTATGGATTCCTATCCAAAATACGAAACCACTTCTCAAATGAAGTGTTCATCCCAATTTGACAATTTCTTTTCGGACAACCCTGTTTTTGCCTCTATGGTTATGAAAAGAAAAGAGCCTGGGCTGTACAGAAATGGATGTACTCAGAGAATTCGTGCAATTGAGAGGAATTTGCTGGATGAAAAATTGCCCCTTCCGGGTGATAATATAAATGATGGACAAGTTTTCACAAAAGGTAAGTCGATCATCAGCAGGAATGAACAGAATGTCCAGGGTGAACAAAATGTTGGGAGATGTGCGATAGCCACTCCCAGGACTGAGAATATTGCTTCAATGAAGAACCCAGCTGGATTAGAAATGTGCATCAACACTAATTCTACCGAACCTTATAAAGTATACAGAAGGCGAAGAAGAGAAACTCAAAATGGAAAAGCCAAATCTAATTCACGCAGGCGCCATTCTGGTAGTCAGCCCATGAAGCCTCATCACAAAAAAAATTCACATGGAGACAAGCATAGTGTTAGATCTGGTGAGAGAGTTTGTAAACTACCCTTTACCAAGACTCAGAATAATAAAGCTGCGGAAAATTTTACTACTTTAGAAGAAAAACTGAACCCTACAGGTGATTATGTTCGCAGAAGTATTAGAAAAAGGAAAATCAAATGTTGGGATGACTTTGCTACCTCATGCAGGCCTCGCTACAATCCTTGTAAGGAACGTTCTTTACTTTCCAATTGCAAGACTGAATCTGTCAATTGTCATGTGAAACCAGGTAAAGATCGATTGAAATCTGAGTGTGAGACAAAGATTAAAACAGAGATTGATCTTGTTTCAGCATCACCAGAGGTTATACTTGCAAAATTGGACACAGAATATGGGCTTGACAGTGCCACAGATAAGGACACAGGGTTGTTAAACGAGTCTGTGTTGGTAGAAAAGGATGGTAGTGAAATAAAGAGTTTCAGGGTTTCAAATGTTGGGTTGAACTTTGGGACATACAAGATACCATTGACGGATTCTGGTTCAGGAGATGCAGCAACATCTCATGCAACTGATGGGGTTTTCAGTCAGGCTGTCAACAGCAGATTTGTCAAGTACACATTCAGCAGAAAGTGCAAGAAGGAATCCTCAACCGAGCCTCAACAGAATTTTTCTCTTCGAGCAAGCTGCGTGAAGAGGAGGACAGAGAAACAGAATGATGCTGAGCTGCAGAACTCTAGCTTGATAAATGAAGCTTCCAGGGACAGAGAGCAATTGGTGCATGTTGCTCATCAGGTTGGTAATAGTTTCCTTCTCAGCATTCTTTCTTCAATTATTTATAGAACAGATGTAAGCTACATTGTCTTTCTGTTTCAGAAATTTAAATCTACCACCTGCTTAGGAAAATCTTTTTACTGTATGGATAGTTTATGCAAGTTCATAAGGGGATAAGCTCACTATTTCTGCTGAGAATTGACCTATCTAGTTGATCATAACAGTCTGTGTCTAGTATTTTTGTACAATTTAAAAGAAAACACATGAAAACTAACAACATTAAGAACTGATAAATAGGATCCTCCGATTGGAATTTTTTTAAGAAGTATCAAATGAACTGGCCTCATCCACAGCTTCTACAGAACTCGTGTTTTCCTTTCATGAAAACCCGAGAACTAACCATGAATACGATAGACAGAAAAAAGTGTTAAGGAGCATGCACATCTGTGGTAAATATTGGTAGACATTCTGCAGATGTTACTTTTCATCAATGGCGATAGTCACAGCCTAATTACCTTGGTGTTTTGGTATTCCCTTTTGTTAGTTCTTATAGGATCCAGGCAGAAAGAGCACTGTTTTCTGGTGCTGTTGAATGGGGTAAATGCAGAGATAAAAAGCTAATCCCTCATTCTCATTATTTTCCCAAGTAAAAAGGGAAAAAATGAATAATCAAAAGGTCATCTTATTCAAAACCTTGATTATGATTTGACTTCACACTCAATGCACTGTTTCTAGTTGATTAAAACTTTTCTTATAATTTTGTATTTTCCTTGTGCAGCTTATTTCTTTGTCTGATAGAAGGTTGCTGTAGCAGAGTTCATTGTTCCTTAAATTCATCCCGGATATGGTTGAAATTTGGTGAGAAATCTAACGACAGCTCTGCATATACCTGGTCTTAGACACATTTTCGGCCAGCTTGAGGTTCTGATTGTATTGTATAACATGATATCTATATAGATCAACATGGAAGTTTTGTATTATTTTTCGAATTTGTGATTGGTGTAATCTCTATAACTCCAGCTATTCCATCTCTATAACCCGAGTCAGACATTATTGCAAAGACGATAATGTTCGAATTCACGACCTTAAAGGTCAACAATTGAATCGGTGGGTATTAAACCAACCACTAAGCTCACATATTAAGGTGATAAATTCATATAATTTCATGTGGAAAATTTGGTAAGAGAAGGAAAAAGATTGCAATATTGAAAATATTGAGATTGTTATGATTTAATAGGATTAAGTTAATTTAACCAAAATTATCACTTAAGGGGCTTTCAAACACTTGGGATTAATCCTAATTAATGTAATTGCATTGTAATTTAATTCAATTAATTTGTGATTTTTAATAAAATATCAAAAAATAATTTTAGATATCGGAGTCACCTGATAAGTTCAACTGTCTAAATGTTGATTCAATCTTTTATCATCTTTGTAATTTTGATAAAGATGAATTTATTTTTGTCTAAATAGAATTTATCTCATTTTGATATCCAATATTTTAATTGTATCATTTTTGTCTCTGAAGTATTGAATATTTTTCTATGTGGTCCCTCCAATAGACATGGTTTAGATTATTAACAAATTTTGATCAGAAATTTATCAGGTAATTCTTAAATATGGGCAAAAAAATAATTTGAATAACTCTTGAAAAAATTTCTATACAAATTTTAATCAAAGAGTTATCCAAATTATACAGTTTAGATCACGAGTTATCTAAATTTTAGTCAAGAGTAGACCATTTTACATATTTTTAGACAAGAGTTATCTAAATTTTTGTTAAAAACTATCCAAATTATTTTTTGTCTNAGCACAAAAATTACTTCGATGCCTTTCATCTTATTTTTGCTTCTACCATTCCATCATATGTTACTTCATTTGTGTGCCCATTTACAACTAAATATGTCCACTTCAGTCTTTGCTATAGCTTTCAGCAATGTGTCACTATGAATAATTACCACTTCATTTTCTTTTTCCTATCCCTTGATGGAATGCATTCAATGGTGGTGGTGAGGCTTATACTTTTAGCTCTCCTTGAGGTGAGGCTCAAGGGAAACAACTGCAGTGCGGTCCTTAATAATCAATCTTGTGTGTAAAATATCAGATATTTACTAGCTTTCATAGAATTGGAAGATGCAGCCTCATTGATGTCAATGATCAATGCATACTTTTTTCCAATTATACTATAGAATGGTCAAACTAGCAGGAGTCAATAGCAGGCACAGCAGGGAAAACTCAGATTGTCTTGCAAAAAGTTAACCAACTGAATTTTTTATTACAGACCACTGAAGCAGAGGTTACATTCTTGAATCGGCAAAGAAGGATTGAAGAGCTTGAGTGTCAGCTCAATGAAGCAGAAGGGAAGGTATTAGATCTCAGAGTAGAAGTGAACAAAGTGCACAATCAATTGGACAAGGTCAAGAACAACCATGGGCAGCTTTTGAATCATCCAATTAAAAAGGAAGATGTCCCTTCTCGGGGAAATACAATGCATGCAAAGAAGCTAAATGATGCTGAAACCTTATTATTCTGCCCTATGGATTCCTATCCAAAATACGAAACCACTTCTCAAATGAAGTGTTCATCCCAATTTGACAATTTCTTTTCGGACAACCCTGTTTTTGCCTCTATGGTTATGAAAAGAAAAGAGCCTGGGCTGTACAGAAATGGATGTACTCAGAGAATTCGTGCAATTGAGAGGAATTTGCTGGATGAAAAATTGCCCCTTCCGGGTGATAATATAAATGATGGACAAGTTTTCACAAAAGGTAAGTCGATCATCAGCAGGAATGAACAGAATGTCCAGGGTGAACAAAATGTTGGGAGATGTGCGATAGCCACTCCCAGGACTGAGAATATTGCTTCAATGAAGAACCCAGCTGGATTAGAAATGTGCATCAACACTAATTCTACCGAACCTTATAAAGTATACAGAAGGCGAAGAAGAGAAACTCAAAATGGAAAAGCCAAATCTAATTCACGCAGGCGCCATTCTGGTAGTCAGCCCATGAAGCCTCATCACAAAAAAAATTCACATGGAGACAAGCATAGTGTTAGATCTGGTGAGAGAGTTTGTAAACTACCTTTTACCAAGACTCAGAATAATAAAGCTGCGGAAAATTTTACTACTTTAGAAGAAAAACTGAACCCTACAGGTGATTATGTTCGCAGAAGCATTAGAAAAAGGAAAATCAAATGTTGGGATGACTTTGCTACCTCATGCAGGCCTCGCTACAATCCTTGTAAGGAACGTTCTTTGCTTTCCAATTGCAAGACTGAATCTGTCAATTGTCATGTGAAATCAGGTAAAGATCGATTGAAATCTGAGTGTGAGACAAAGATTAAAACAGAGATTGATCTTGTTTCAGCATCACCAGAGGTTATACTTGCAAAATTGGACACAGAATATGGGCTTGACAGTGCCACAGATAAGGACACAGGGTTGTTAAACGAGTCTGTGTTGGTAGAAAAGGATGGTAATGAAATAAAGAGTTTCAGGGTTTCAAATGTTGGGTTGAACTTTGGGACATACAAGATACCATTGACGGATTCTGGTTCAGGAGATGCAGCAACATCTCATGCAACTGATGGGGTTTTCAGTCAGGCTGTCAACAGCAGATTTGTCAAGTACACATTCAGCAGAAAGTGCAAGAAGGAATCCTCAACCGAGCCTCAACAGAATTTTTCTCTTCGAGCAAGCTGCGTGAAGAGGAGGACAGAGAAACAGAATGATGCTGAGCTGCAGAACTCTAGCTTGATAAATGAAGCTTCCAGGGACAGAGAGCAATTGGTGCATGTTGCTCATCAGGTTGGTAATAGTTTCCTTCTCAGCATTCTTTCTTCAATTATTTATAGAACAGATGTAAGCTACATTGTCTTTCTGTTTCAGAAATTTAAATCTACCACCTGCTTAGGAAAATCTTTTTACTGTATGGATAGTTTATGCAAGTTCATAAGGGGATAAGCTCACTATTTCTGCTGAGAATTGACCTATCTAGTTGATCATAACAGTCTGTGTCTAGTATTTTTGTACAATTTAAAAGAAAACACATGAAAACTAACAACATTAAGAACTGATAAATAGGATCCTCCGATTGGAATTTTTTTAAGAAGTATCAAATGAACTGGCCTCATCCACAGCTTCTACAGAACTCGTGTTTTCCTTTCATGAAAACCCGAGAACTAACCATGAATACGATAGACAGAAAAAAGTGTTAAGGAGCATGCACATCTGTGGTAAATATTGGTAGACATTCTGCAGATGTTACTTTTCATCAATGGCGATAGTCACAGCCTAATTACCTTGGTGTTTTGGTATTCCCTTTTGTTAGTTCTTATAGGATCCAGGCAGAAAGAGCACTGTTTTCTGGTGCTGTTGAATGGGGTAAATGCAGAGATAAAAAGCTAATCCCTCATTCTCATTATTTTCCCAAGTAAAAAGGGAAAAAATGAATAATCAAAAGGTCATCTTATTCAAAACCTTGATTATGATTTGACTTCACACTCAATGCACTGTTTCTAGTTGATTAAAACTTTTCTTATAATTTTGTATTTTCCTTGTGCAGCTTATTTCTTTGTCTGATAGAAGGTTGCTGTAGCAGAGTTCATTGTTCCTTAAATTCATCCCGGATATGGTTGAAATTTGGTGAGAAATCTAACGACAGCTCTGCATATACCTGGTCTTAGACACATTTTCGGCCAGCTTGAGGTTCTGATTGTATTGTATAACATGATATCTATATAGATCAACATGGAAGTTTTGTATTATTTTTCGAATTTGTGATTGGTGTAATCTCTATAACTCCAGCTATTCCATCTCTATAACCCGAGTCAGACATTATTGCAAAGACGATAATGTTCGAATTCACGACCTTAAAGGTCAACAATTGAATCGGTGGGTATTAAACCAACCACTAAGCTCACATATTAAGGTGATAAATTCATATAATTTCATGTGGAAAATTTGGTAAGAGAAGGAAAAAGATTGCAATATTGAAAATATTGAGATTGTTATGATTTAATAGGATTAAGTTAATTTAACCAAAATTATCACTTAAGGGGCTTTCAAACACTTGGGATTAATCCTAATTAATGTAATTGCATTGTAATTTAATTCAATTAATTTGTGATTTTTAATAAAATATCAAAAAATAATTTTAGATATCGGAGTCACCTGATAAGTTCAACTGTCTAAATGTTGATTCAATCTTTTATCATCTTTGTAATTTTGATAGAGATGAATTTATTTTTGTCTAAATAGAATTTATCTCATTTTGATATCCAATATTTTAATTGTATCATTTTTGTCTCTGAAGTATTGAATATTTTTCTATGTGGTCCCTCCAATAGACATGGTTTAGATTACTAACAAATTTTGATCAGAAATTTATCAGGTAATTCTTAAATATGGGCAAAAAAATAATTTGAATAACTCTTGACAAAATTTCTATAAAAATTTTAATCAAAGAGTTATCCAAATTATACAGTTTAGATCACGAGTTATCTAAATTTTGGTCAAGAGTAGACCATTTTACATATTTTTGGACAAGAGTTATCTAAATTTTTGTTAAAAACTATCCAAATTATTTTTTGTCTATATTTAAGTATCACGTGACAAATTTATGATAAAAAAATTATTAATAATTTAAATATTGTCTTCTTAAAGAACCACATAAAAATATATTTAATACTTCAAAAATTAAAATATTAGGGATTAAAATAAAATAAACTCCATATTTTAAGAACCTCTAATACAATTACCTCTTTATTTTTTGTGAACAGTATGGACCAAGAAACTTTGTGACTATGCAAACGCCGCTAGTGAGACCAGTCTCCACAGAAGGGAAATCCTCTAGATTCCAAATAAATGTCGACCTTGGGATTCTACCGAAAAAAATTTATATAACTCACTAACCCGATTTGAGAAGGCCAAAGAAACAAGGAGTTCGACTATGGTATCGAAATTTACTTTTCTGGTATTATATTTTTATTTATTAAATTTATAATTATTTTTATTATATTTAAGAATATTTTTATCACTTTTATAA